TGGAACAAACATTGAACTATTAATGCATATAACTTTTACCTACCATCTATTCCCATAGTCAAACCAGTTCAAAATCAAAAGAAAAGTTTTATTTGGACAACAGCCATTCTATACTAGACCAATAATAATTGTAAAAATAATAAATACCTATTAATATTTATATATAATAAGTCTTTTTTTTCATTTTAAACTATGTAATTGGAAATATAAGATGGTCACATGTTAGTTGTTTTATTTCAAGGTCTAAACAAATAATATCTACAAATAGCTCTTCTTGTTCTACAGGGTATAACAGAATAACACCGACACACGTTTAGGAATGGTAGGGTAGGTCAATGCAAGTAATTTGACATAGGGAACATGGGGTCGCAGATGCACCCCTATGGAGATACGAACTTTTTAAGTCTGACGCCGACCGAATGAACCGTATGTCGAGATTAAATGCTTGTGGACGCTGAAGGTATAAGAAAAACCGTTATCAATAAAAAAATGCGATATGGCTTATGCATTATTTCCTTATCTTTTAGTACAGCTTTTATTTCCTTATCAGTAGGTAAAATATTTAGACTTGTTTCAACTTGTTAACAACGTGTTCACCTATTATTAATTGATTCTGGTGTGTAATTTTGTAGGTACTTCGTAAACCAGGCGTCATGCGTCTTTTTAACAGACATGCAGCTAGTCTATGCCGCCGCGAATGAAAATGGCCGAGAAGCTTATCGTATTTAAGAGCAAACTTTTCCGGACAGACATAATCCACATCATAGTACTTTTGCGACTGGACCGTCGTTTAAGGGAAACTGGTTTACTTACTTCACGTAAGCCTGATAGTGGTTCATTGTAGATTGTGGCAGAGTCGTCAGTTGCATCCAAAACATGTTGCCGAAAGTATTCACAATTTATCAAGCTACTTAAAAAAGTCCATATTACACATTGTAAATTGTAGATTGTGGAGGAGTCGTTTCGGCTTTTGAGCCGCTCAGCACTGCTACCTTTGCAGATATTTTGTACATGACTCTACATCTTAAGTTGTCTCCAGGAAGCGTAGACTTCTGCCGAAGGAAGCTATTTTCCTGGGTGTCAGTTGGCCCACTTCTTCTGGTGATAGTGTTGCACCCTCGAGGAATTTGAGCCTCTTGCAGAATTGGGCTGGACATTCGCAGAGTAGGTGCTCTGCGGTCTCTATTGCGTCTGAGCAGAATCTGCAGAGATCGTCTTCTGCACTGCCCATTAATTTTAAATGTTATTTTACCAGGCAGTGTCCTGTGAGCAGTCCTACCACCAATCTGTTGCCTGATCTGCTCATGTTCAATTGCTGTTCAGCTCTTTTTGCTGAAAGGGTAATGAACCTTTTTGACTGTCTGAGTCCGGAGTGTGCCTCCAGTATGATGACAATTCGTATTTTTCCCATTTGTTGAGTTTTTCCATGATGTGGCTTTTCATTAGGCCACAGTAGGGCTCTGGTCCATGGTATGGTGTTGAGGCCCCTTCTTTTGCGAGGCCATCTGCTTCTTCGTTTCTTTCTATGCCTCGATGACCAGGTAGCCACATCGCGTTACCTGGTTGTGTCCCACATAACAGTGAAAGAACATTCATATTCTCAGAATATTCCCTCAAAGTGCTTTTTGGAATGTTCTTTTAGGAATGTTTAATGAATATTCTAAGATTGTTTCGATTGAAATATTCATTTTTGAACGTTCTATTTATGTACTAGGAATGTTGCTTCTATGCACCTACCTGAAAGATTGTGCTAAGAACCTACTTTATATAACAATCTTAGAATATTGGTATACGAACATTATTATAATGATAATGTACCCTAAAAAATGTTCTTTCGGTAATATCTCTATCAAGTATCAAGAATATACCTACCAAGTTGTGCTGAGAAGTTTATGTAGGTAGGTAACCATGATAAGAATATTTTCATATTGTTCACCTAATTATCTGAAGTACCTACCTACTCAAAAATCATAATTTAACAATTAAACAATAATGCTCTATCCAGAACGTACTAAGAATATTATAGGTATATTCCTTTCCTTTTGCTTTGTAGGACTTCCAAGAGAGGGAGCCACGCGCTATTAAAGATCTACATCTTACCTCGCGTTTGAATCACCTTGGAACCTGTTTCTCTCAGTTGGCGTGATTCGACGAGAGCATAACAAGCTCGAAACCAGAGCTTTGGTTAAATACTTGTTTTTTCCAGAGAAGTTTCCCAACAACTCTTTCACTGCCTTTAATATATAAGGGCTGAAAGGAGCATTATTTGGAAGCGAAAATTAACATTCCAAGTATATCCTTAGAATCAACCAAGAATGTTATGTCTAGGATGCCTATTGAGAATGATAATATGTAGATATATTCTAAGAATATTTCAAGCATATTGGTATAATATTCTTTTGAGAACATAACTATAATGTCATAGAAACATTCTTTGAATGTGAAAATACCTATACATATCGAGCATATTTTCAGAATCAAACAAGAATATTCTTTTGAGGATGTACTGAGAATCTCATAGGTATATTCTAGGAATATGCTAATGGATTTCTCAGGAAGTTCTTGGGTATTGCAAACAGTATTTCTACAATCTTTTCTCAGAACATTCTCAGGACATTCGCAATGGTTTTGGCGAACATTCTAGGCACATTCCTCCTAAAAAAAGAATATTCTTAATACATTCTAAGGATGCAATTTTGTTATGTGGGGTGTGTCGCTAGTGTTTTTAGGGTAGTTTTGACGTGCATTTGAAAGCCCTTAAGGCTTTTAAGAGCTTGGCTGTCCGATAAAATGATGATGTGTTTTCTTTTGAGGCTTTGGTTGACACTCTTGTGCACCTATGGCAAGCAGTTCGGTTTGAAATATTGTAAGATGTTTACCCAATGCCTTGGAGAGCTTGAAGTTAGGGCCGGAAATGCCTAATCCAGCTCCTTCCATTAGCTTGGATCCATCTGTGTACCACAGAGATGCATTGTCTGCTTGTGGTAATTCTTTATTCTCCCATGATTGGTGGTCGTTTATTACCACTGCGGTTTGCTGGCATTCTCCAGTTCTATTAAATCAAGGATGTGCAGATGTCCCCTCAGATCACCAGGCTTGAATTTGTCTGTTTGGAATAGCCTGTGAGCGCTGGTTATTGCCTCCTTTTTCACACATAGGTGAAGTGGGGGCACGTTGAGTAGCGTCTCTAGGGGTGCAGTGGGGCAAGTTGACATTGCTCCCGTTATTCCTAGACATATCAGCCTTGTACCTTTCTTAGCTTGATCTGAGCAGTGACTTGCTGAGTTTTGGGCTACAACACTAATGAGGCATATGTGACTTTTTATTATAGTTTGGTAAATCCAGAATACCATCTTTGGCTTTAGCCCCCATGTTTTGTCAACAAGTTTTCGGCATGACCAGATGGCTGATGTGGTAGCTGCCTGATAGTGGTGCTGCTCGCTCTAGAAGAACGATTAATTTTGAGGAAGAAGTGCACCATCAAGTAACAGCCAATCCATCCATCAGCAGTAATCAGCACACCAGCCGTTGCTCACGCTCTAAATTGGGATCATATGACCGTTCATCGCATCATAAAGGAGCAGGCCCTGTATCCCTATCATCTTCAAAAGGTCGAAGGGCTCTTGCCAGATGATTATCCTTTTAGGGTACAGTTTGCTCAAGTGCATGCAGAGCCCATGATTTGCAAACATTGTGTTATGGACGGATGAAGTTTGCTTTCCCAGTTTACTCGCATGCCATTCGGTTTGAAAAAGACTCCCGTGACCTTTTAGAGGGTCATGGACAACATTCTACACTCCGAAATGAACAATGCCTTTGCATATCTATATGACATACCTACTAGTGTTCTCTACATCATTACAAGAAAACTTAGATCGCCTTATTTTAGTTTTCCAACAACTTCAGTAAGACAAGAGTGAATTTCTGAGGAGATTAGTTGCATATCTATAGGTCACGCAATGACACTATAGATAGTGTGAAGCCACACCCACCTATAGTTTTTATCGAAGCTTTATATTCAAAAATGGGACAAATATGGAAAGAAGCTCCTAATGCCATGGAATTCCAACGGAATTACTTCATTTTCGCATAGTTTAAGGAGGTCCTCCTTCTTCTTGGCACTTTTTGGCAATTGTTGGCTGTATAATTTTCTGATAACGTTGATGGATTTATAAGGGCTGGAATGCACGTACGTATTTGTATTCAATTCTTCCAGGCCTTTCTTTTGAATATCTCAGACTTTTAATAATGGTATGTATAACAGTCGAAATAGCCACATTTATGCTGAGGAGAACCTACTCGCAATGTATGCGCATAATTTTCAACATAAATCTGGCATAGTGAATAACTGCATAATTGGACCATAATAGTTGCCCCCATGCTTAAACGCTCATGTTTATCTTCGATTCTTGCAACGCGTCCTAGCAGAGCTGCTAGGAGAAGTACCACTTGACGTACGTCGAGATACGTGGTACCAACACGATGGTGGACCAGCCTATTTTGGACTAGATTGCCAGGCGTATCTTGACTTGATCTTTCCGCAACGATGGATTGGGCGAGGAGGCCCTGTACATTGGCCCGCTCGATCGTCAGATATGACTTCACTAGATTTTTATTTGTGGGGTAAAGTTAAGGCATTAGTTTACGAAACTCCTGTAAATTCGCAAGAGGAATTACTTGGTAGAATCATGGCTACCTTTGAGCTAATTGATAACAGGGTGGAAATTCTGGGGAAGTAAGGAGATCGATCCCAAACTGTTTCCATATCTGCATAGTAGTCACTTCCCATAAATCTCTTACTGGTAAGTATCTACAAGCATTTAATTTCGACAGATGTCAGACTCAGAAAGTTTGTATCTTCGTAGGGGTGCATCTGCGACCCCATGTTCCCTATGTCAAATTACTTGCATTGACCTACCCTACCACCCCTAAAAGTGTGTATTCTGTTACACCCTGTATAACCAATCAACATTGGGAAAATAAAAACATTTTTCGTATAGGTCTATTGCTGCAGCAATCACAAACAAGTTAGCTTGAATGGTTTCAATTAGAATTATTGTTTAGAAAAATTTATTTAATTTGTGATTACCAAAGCACGAGACATTTATTTCAGTCATATATATTTCAATAAAAAAAATCATCTCTTTATCAGTCTTTGTACTATTCAACAATAATTAAGCTTAATCAATATCCCTAGGACACAATTGTCTCTCGCCCTCACTGAAAAATATTTTCATGGCCTTGTGCAATAAGTACACCCCCAACATTCTCTGTTTCTTCTGGGTCCATGTCACGGATTCTCCATAAAACTCTCCCGACTTACAATTGGTCAAATTCTCCTTTTTTATTGCACTTATCATTGCAGCTTCTCTAGTGTAAGCCTCCACAGGAATTATGTTATGGAAAACGTTGAGGCAAATCACTCCGCTCCCACTTTGCCAGATGTCCATGATTTTTTGTAATTTGGTATTTGAGGTCTGAAATTGGCCCTTTTTCCATAAATCCATGGCGTCGTATAGATGTTGAAAGGGTCTCGTCCTTTTACCTTTGCCAACATAAAAAATCGAAGATACAAACGTGTTCCAGACTTCTAGGGGTTGCAATCTGTCCTTCCTATTGGGCAAATCGTTGGTTATTCTTGGATCTAGTAGTAGATAAGTGAAGCTGGTTTTATTAACACCTTCTCGCCATTTTCTGGATGGGTCTGGACTACTGAACTGTTTTGCTAATTCTTGTTCCAAGGATTTGTAGTCTGATGTACACCAGTCTGGTTTTTTTAGGGTTTTTTCAAGCTCCGGTGAATACACTGAAATTTAATAAATAATTATAAGTAAATAAGGTACATTATTATTGATGCTAATAGTACATTTTTTAGTACAAAAATGTCGAATAAGGATAAAAAACATTGAAAAAAAAAATATATAAAATTAAATTAAATAATTGACATGTTTAAAGTCAATATCATAGTCAATATGACAGTTTTAATAACATTACAAAGTTAATTTGTTGAAAAGATAATAAAGGCTTGATTAGCACAACAGTGGTATATTATTGTAAATCCAATGAAGAATTTTCAGAACCTTGTTCTTGGTTGTTCAGAGCTTTCAGAATCTTCAGGAATTCTCAGAGTATTCAGCCATAAGACTATTTAAAATCTGTGAGAACTTTGGGTTATCTAGTCTTCTTAATATGACGAATTTTTTAATTTTTTTAGTGACTTTAGATGTTTACAGCTTGCTCAAATCAAAATAGTCTTAGAAGTATTCCTCTGACATCTAAATTCCCTTCAGATATTTGGAAAAAGTTGTTAAGTCTTTAAAAAGTCTTTGGTATTGTGTGATTGAAACTTTTAGACCCTTTAGTCTGATATCATGAGCCTCAAGGCCTTCAGGAACTTCAGATTCTTAAGGGATTTCCTTCAGAGCCTTCAACCGGAGTGCTTTAAAACTCTGTCTTTAGATTTTCCGATATTTCTAGAATCTTCAGATGATTAAGTCTCAGGTCTTGAAGTTTTTGAAGTCATTATATTTCTTGGTTAATTATTATTCTTAAAACAGAAGAACAGCGTTCACAAGAGAACGAGTTTTTTGTCTTTGTTATTTATATTATCATTTGCATATCATTGAGAAAGATAGAACACTCGTACTCCTGAGTCCTTATTTTTGAAACAGGGGAGCAGCGTTTCCAGGAGAACAAGTGTTCCGTCTTTGTTACTAATGTTATCATTTGCATATCACTGAGAAAGATGGAACACTCGTTTTCCTGGGAACGTTGCTCCCCTGTTTCAAGAATAAGGACCCTGAATGAAGTGCTATCAAGTTCACCTTAACGTTAAGGTTACCTACTTAAGGTAAACGTTAAGGGTACCTAAGGTAAGTCTTGAACCTAAGGTTATATTGAAATACCGGCCCTTAAATCAGCGGAATTTTGACAGTTTTAAGGCCGGTATTTCAATGTTACCCTAAAACAAGACTTACTTAAGGTACCCTTAACGTTAAGGTGAACTTGAAATGAGTTCATTCAGGTGGCTTAAGATCCACCTTGAATTAAGGGAACTTTATTATATGGTGAAACTTGTATTAAGGATGACTTAATTTATTCTGTACCTTAAGGCGACATTGAAATATTGGCTCTCAATATAAAATCAGACTAAGGGCCAGTATTTCAATGTTACCTTAAAATCAAAACTTAAGGGCCAGTATTTCAATGTCACCTTAAGGTATAGAATAACGTTAAGTCATCTTTAATAAAAGTTTCACCATATATCAAATTTCCCTTAATTCAAGATGCATCTCAAGCCACCTGAATGAACTGATTTCAAGTTCACCCTAACGTTAAGGCTACCTTAGATAAGTCATGATTTTAAAGTAACATTGAAATACCGGCCCTTACTTGAGGTACCCTTAACGGTAAGGTGAACTTGAAATCAGTTCATTCAGGAAAATCCACCTCAAATGGGAACTTTGATATACGGTGAAACTTGTATTAAGGATGACTTAACGTTATTCTGTACCCTGAGGTGACTTTAAAATACTGTCCCTTACACTACAGGCATTGGGTCAGTGCTAGTTTTAAGTACCTACTAAGCCTTGAAACACTTAAAATTTCTCAGTTTATGTATTTGAAGATTCGAATAGTTATTTGAAAAACACAATGTAATTCGAATATTTGAGTAGGAGCCTTCATTTAACTCTTCTATGTTTGCCCCTAGGTTTCATTGAAATATTCTAAAATCTCACCTTTCTTGTTAATTTCATTTTCATGATCCTTCACGTATGCAACTGGATGCTTTTTAAGGCTATGAAGTCTCCTCAAATAAACCCTTTTAGTAGTCACAGTTATTGGGCCAGGTTTATGTCCCAAACTGGTAAGTTCTTGTCTTAAGGTGTCACTGTCATAGTCCAATGCTAGAGACTGAGAAGATAGAATCGACGATCGGACACTTTTGGCAGTTTCCCTAAGAGAAAAAGAAGAAAATTATAACAAAAATTATAGGTGTTTAAGAAGGAAAAAAAATGTCACCTTTTAAAAACTAAGGACGATTTCTCATTCAAACTCAACGAGAAGAATTTTTCACATAATTCCTCCACAACTACAATGAAATCAGACATTTTTGAAGCAGCCACGACATCAAATAACAGTACCAATACTTGGTTGTGTTCAATTAATCGAATATTTCAAACTAAATGCAACAGAGACAAGAATATTTTCAAAATGTGATAAAATGAGATACTATATTATTTGCGGCAAAACTGGTAACAAAATAGTTGAAACCTATGAGTAAGGCAAAAGTGCATAACAAGATAAGGTAATGACGTGTGCCTGATTAATAAACTACAATAAACATTTGTTTATCACGATTATAAAAATGAGAAATCCATAGTTAGTTTTTAGATAAGATGACTGATTCAATCAAGATTCAACTTACCCAGAGGTCTTCAAAAGTCTTTTCTCATATAAAGTAACCCCTTGCTCTTCATCCACATGTTTATAAACTTCTGAAACGCTGACAAAACTCAGCTCAGTACTGCTTCCATTACTACCCCCTTCTCCACTATCACAGATATTATTATTCAATAATTGTTCCTCCTCCTGATCACTCAAATTCACTTCATCTATATTTTTTTCTAGTACATTAATACTGTCATTTGTAAAAGACAAATAATCACTGCTTTGTCTGTGTTGTGCAGGCTCATTCATTGATTGCTTAAGCGATGTACTTTCTAATGTTACAATGCCACTTTCTTTAGAGTACCCTGTCAAGTGAGTAAATTCGTTATTGGCACTAACATAAATTGATTTCTTATTTGAAGATACATTAGAGCTTTGTTCAAGTTTGGGAGGTTCCGTTTTAGACAAAGAAGACCTTGAGCTCTTGCTGCGGCTTTTTCTGTAGACCTTTCTGAATGTAATAAACCGGTGGTCGTATCGCTTAGCTTCCCTATCGTCTCCATCAGATTCTACAACAGAATCGTCCGTCCAGTCTAATTTGAAACTGTTACCAACAAAATTATTGGTACTTGTTATAGTTGAACTAGTGCTAGTAGAGGCTTGTTGTTGTTGGGAAAACCAATTCAGGATATTCTCAGTAGCATTGATTCGGGGTAGAGATTTCAGCTGATCTTGGTCACCAACAACACTGTCATTCGAGCTTATGTCGTATTGTTTCACCAAATCTCCACAGTCTATGATGATCTTATCTAGAAAAAAAGAACGAATTGGTAAGTATCACAAATGGAATGAAAATAAGTAAACTACATTGTTTGTCAAATACAATTTTATCAATAGAGGAATTTTTATTGCAGAATAGGAATTTTATGTATTGTCCGTCGATTTTAATCTGATTCTCTAACGGAATGTGAGCTGGTGGCTCCTTACATTACATTAGAACGCCAATGGTTACCTGAAGTCACACCTGTTTTTGCCATATGAAACACCCCTCGAAACACCCCCTCGCTCCTCATACGGAAAGTGTTAAAAAATACGATTTAAGTTGGTGAAAATTGTTGACAGTTGTGAAGAGTTTAGTTGTTGAGTTAATTGGTGAGGTAATTAGTGTCAAAGTGTATAGTAACGTAGTGAACACTGGGACAGTTAGTCAGTGTAAGCGATGACAATCACCAAAAGAGACTTAACCGATCGTTTAAATTACCCCGGAAGTGACTGTTATCCGAATTTGACTTTGATAATGAATTTTCGGGTGAGTTCTAGAAAATTCTATTTGGAAACCAAGGGAGATATCGAATTTCTGACTTCGCCGACGTATTCGATACATCAATCATCATTCAGAAAAAGAATTTCGAGGAGTTTCAAGAAAATTTTAGAATATCCTATTTGGAACCCAAGGGAGATATTGAATTTGTGACTTTATCGACATGTTCGGAACTTCCAGGGAAGATACTTGAAGAGGGTTCGAGGGAAATTCCAGAATATCCTGTATATGCGTATTAAGAGACAAAAAGCTAAAATAAAAGAACAAAAACTTGAAGATCTTCTGCACAAAATGTTGGAACTTCAAGAGACCAAACGATAACAAGAAAAACAAGACGAAGAAGCCTGGCGACAAAAAGAGAAACAAGAAGAAGAAGCTAGACAACAAGAAGAGGCCAGCGGCTAGACGATAACAAGAAAAATAAGACGAAGAAGCCAGGCGCCAAAAAGAAAAACAAGAAGAAGAAGATAGGTGACAACAAGAAGAGGCTAGCAACAACAAGAAGTTAAAAACGACGTTCAGGAAGTAAAAGCTGAAGTCAAAGCCGATGTTCAGCAATTAGGAGAAGAAGTTGAGGACCAAGTTCAAGCACTGGAAGATAAGGTGAATAAATTAGAAATACAGTCCATCAAACCAGTTCGTGTTGGGGCCGGGGTTGGGGCATTTTCTAGTATGAAGATAAAACCACCAACTTTTGACGGTTCTACGTCCTGGACCATGTAAATTACACAATTTCAAGCTGCTGCAAATACCAACGAATGGAATGATCAAGAAACTATAACAGATACCGTTACGCCATTTTGTGAGATCAAGAGTGTACCATCGTCACCACAAGTAACTGGGACAGCATCACATTAGCTCTTGTCCTATTATATGAGTTTTATTGTCAAATATTTGTCAAACTATGTATTAAATCAGAGCCCCCTACATTTAACAAGCCATGAAGTTAAAAAGGCAACACCGCCATCTAACCGCCAAGTGGTGCTGGTGGTGTTTGTTTTTATAAATATATATTTTTTATTTTATTAATATGAATCACAAAAAATGCATAATTTATTGTACTAAAGGGCCAAAAACAGTAATTCAATGAATACTATAACTATTTGTGTAAATAAGAACAGTACATAATTGATTTAAATGAATATATTTCTAAAGTCTAAAGTGTTATAGGCCTATGTTTCAGTATGTCTTTTGAAAATCTAACTTTTTCTTTCTTCGGGATTTTTTCGGAAGGCAGGTCCATTCAAATACTTGAGCTGGTTTTCTTAAATAAGAGATACCTACTTTTAAGAGTTGGACGTTTTAGTTTGAACTCTCGAACTACGCCTTTATCCTTGTTTGTTTCAAATCTAATTATTTCGGTTTCTTCAAAATGTTTACAACACACCACAGAATTTTTCGTTATTGTATAATCTCGGGTATAATTATCTTGGTGTATTGCTTTCATCCACATTTTTTGCAATTCAGAATTTTTTTGGAAATGAAAATGTTTGCATTTCTTCAGTTTTTAAGGAACTCCTAATAGTTCGATTTGCACCCAGGAACACAGTAGTTTCATGGCATCTGGAACAAGTTTAAATATCTTAGGTAATATATCGAGACATATGCTCTTGCAGACCAATATTAGTATTGTTTTTATTGTTTTACCTTACCTTACCTTCATTTTTGCTTCTGTACCCATTTGCTAAAAATATGCAATCAAAGCACAAAGGAACAGGTATCAACTAAATATGGGCAATATATTGGTGTGTTTCTATCCACTTTTTCGTCAATAATGCCCACAAAAATACTAAACTGCAACAATACACAATGAAAGCAATACACAGAAACACATAACCCAATAACAAAATAGCACCATACGCGACGTTGCCGTCATTTCCAACTTCATGGCTTGTTAAGTATAGGAGGCTGTGATTAAATGCATTGAAATGAATGACAGTAGAATTAGTCCAGGAGATTATTATGTTATACAGTTACTTTTGGTGACGATGCATGGTACCTCAGAAAGAGAAATTGTTGAAAACGCAATTTTAGACTTTTGTGTTAGATACGCCCCTACGTGATAAGGGGGACGATATGGACGACAAGAGGAAGACTGAAGACAAAAGGAAAGACTGGAAGAAGAAGTTCAGACGGAGAGAAAAACAAGGAGAATAGGATCGGCTTCACTGCTTGAAGCACTTTTACAACAAGAAAAAGCTGAAAGACAGAAAGAGAGCTTGCAGCATTTTTACAAGAAGATCGAAGATCGGAGGAAAAACAAGAAGAACAGGACCGGCTTCAGCAAAACTTTTCCATTCCAGCGTGAATGAATACAAACCGTGATCTCTGAGGAACAAACTAGAATAAATAGAGAAAATTCTGAAAGTACAAACTGTTAAATTTCGTTGTGGCTGTTAGTGTCATCTGTTGTGAGGTACTGTGACTCAATATTACATAATTGTGTAGTAGTAGTTATTCCATACTTATTACCACTATTGCCACCATTAGGTACCATTATTGTAATATTTTCGGACTGGACCCTCATATAATTACGATCGAACTTCAGGTAAGTTCTTTTGATCATGAAATTGCTGCCGTTCCCGCTGACAAACTTTATACATATTTAGGTTGATTTTTCTCAATTATTATTTAATAATTGATAATTATTCAATATGTATAGCAGACAGAAAACAAGAAAAATCAACCTAAACATGTAGGTATAATTTTTTTTCAGCGGAAACAGTAACTAATGCAAGCAATAAAATACCTGAATAATGAATTGTGTATTGTGTGTTTTTTCTGGTTTTTCTTTCTCTTTAAACTTATAGTTAAGAAAGTTTTTATTCATATACGTCCACAATACATTTAATAATAATAAAATTTGTTGGAACCCAAAATTTTTATTTTGTACCATATGACTACATGGCAAAAATTGTCTAATTTGATTGGCTACTAAACATACGATGAACGGTGGAGTTGAAAGTTTACCAAGGAGAAACGATGCGGTTCGGAAAGGAAACGACGAACGGTGGAGTTTTACGAATAATGAAGTTTATTTACAATAACTGCCAAGACGAATGACATCGTGAATGTTCGGATGCGCTCGTTACGTTACATGCGCTAATAATTCCCCGATATTTCCTAAGAATACCTTGATATTTCCTAATAATACCTCGATATTTCCTAATGATAGCTCGATATTTCATAATAATACCCCGATATTTCCTAATAATACCTCGATGTTTCCTCATAATACCCTATATCCTCCATATTTTCACATATTTCTCCAGGCTAGTGACAATAATTCCCATAGGTGATTTACCCCCTGCAATTAGACAACTATCACGACGGGAACTAGGAATTGATACTGTAACAGAGACTATAAGAAAGTACGCAAAAAGCCATGAAGATAGACTACATCGGCATGTGAATGTGGAAGTCATTGAGCTCCTAGACAATACTGAGCTAGTTAGAAGACTGAGAAGGGTGAAGCCGTTCGAGCTAGTGAACTGAAATTGAAAAACACAACAAAACAGTGCTATAAACACATCAAAATTGTGATTTACAGTTTAAGCAAAGTGGGGAAAACTGTTGAGTGAACCTCAAGAATTGTAAACTTTATAGTAAATTAGGTTAAAACAAAATTGCTAATTAGTCTTACTGACTAGATTGTAATGTAATAAACACAATGTGTTTGACAAATAAAAAAAAAAAAAAAAATCACGACGTATGCCAGTAGCTATACAACAGGAAGTGGAAAACTAAATTGATAAAATGCTTCAAAAGGGAATTATTGAAAAGTCAAATAGTCCGTGGTCTGCGCCAGTAGTATTGGTCACCAAGAAAGATGGAAGTCTTAGATTTTGTGTGGACTACCGTAAGCCTAATGACGTCACCAAGAAGGACAACTTCCTTCTTCCGAGGATCGACGATACATTAACAACTCCATCGGGCTCCAAATGGTTTCCCATCTTGGATAAGTGGCAATACACAAAGATGACAGAGAGAAAACTGCCTTCAGTACCAGAAGCGGGTTATACTAGTTTAACGTAATGCCTTTCGGATTGTGTAATGCTCCTGCTACGTTTGAGCGACTGATGCATCTAGTTTTGCGAGGCCTTACATGGAGATCTTGTCTGGTATATTTAGATGATGTCATGATTATGAAAAACTCATTCCAAGAGCATCTCAATAATTTGAAAGAAGTTTTTGACCGCTTCCGGAATGCAAACTCAAAAACAAATCCAAATAAGTGTTTTCTATTTCAAAAGAAAGTGGAATTCTTAGGTCACGTGGTATCTGAAGATGGCATGCATGTTATGGAAGAACAAATAGATGCTGTCAGGGATTGGCCAAAACCACGCGAAAAACATGAACTAAGGAGTTTTCTAGGATTATGTCCTTACTATCGAAGATTTGTGGAAGAATTCGCCAATATAGCTGCTCCGCTTCATCGATTAACAGAAGAAAAATCAACATTCAATTGGACCCAAGAATGCGATTCCGCATTTAGAAAATTAAAAGAAGCATTATGTACAAGCCCAGTGTTGTCCTATTCCGATCAGAAGGGCATGTTGATTTTGGGGACACAGATGCAAGTAACACCAGTGTTGGAGCTGTCCTTTCACAAATCCAAAATTCACAAGAACATGTCGTGGAGTACTACAGCAGAACATTATCAAAGCCGGAACGAAATTATTGTGTCACCAGAAGAGAGTTGCTTGCCATAGTAAAAGCAGTCGATCATTTTCATAAGTATCTCTACGGACGCAAGTTTCTAATTCGAACAGATCACGCAGCTCTAAAATGGCTTTTAGAAATGAAAGCTCCCGAAGGACAGCTTCCTAGATGGATTGAGAAAATTGCAGCAATACGATTTCCAAATTAAACATCGACCTGGAAACCTGCATAAAAATGCCAACGCTCTGTCTAGACGGCCATGTAAAGAAGATTGCAAGCATTGTCAAAGAATCGATATACATGAGAAAAACACTAGTCCAGCTGTAAGAAGAACGGGCCTGATCGTCGATGACAAATGGACTACCAAACAAATGAGAGAAGATCAGGAGGCAGACCAGGACGTCGGGCAAATTCTACATCTTAAAGAAAATGATGAATGTAGGCCAGAATGGAGGGACCTGTCAAACAAGAGCTTGATTTACAAGGCGTTGTGGGTCCAATGGAACTCTCTGGCCGTAGAAAATGGTTTGCTCAAAAGAGTTTGGGAAAGTGCCGATGGGAAATCCACTAAGAGCCAACTGGTTATCCCAAAAGACCGAGTGGAAGATGTATTAAAAAAAATACACGACGGAACTTCAGGAGCACATTTCGGAGTTAACAAGACTTTGGACAAAATTCGGGAACGCTTTTACTGGGTTCACTACCATGAAGACGTTAAAAGCTGGTGCCGAAAATGGGACATCTCTGCTACCAGTAAAGACCCTAAACTAAGATCTCGGGGGCCCATGAAACAGTACAACGTCGGTCTTCCATTTGAAAGAATAGCGATAGATGTAGCCGGACCGTTCCCAGAGTCAGAGCGTGGTAACAAATACATCTTAGTTATCATGGATTACTTCAGTAAATGGCCAGAAGTTTTCGCTATTCCCAATCAAGAAGCCATCACTATTGCCCAGATGCTAGTGGACGAAATTTTCAGTCGTCCTGGTGTGCTACTAGTGTTGCATTTAAATCAGGGACGAAACTTCGAATCTGCTATTTTTAAGAAAATTTGTGAAATCAAGGAATCCGTAAGACCAGGACAACACCTTTACATCCACAGTCTGATGGCATGGTAGAATGATTTAATGAGACCATAGAGGAACACCTGACAAAAGTGGTCGCAAAGAACCAGCGAGATTGGGACAAACACTTGCCTCTATTTTTAATGGCTTTCAGTGCAGGTTTCATGACTCAGTGAAACCTGCAGGTGAAAGTCTAGCTAAAATCGTTTTTGGAAGAGAACTCTGGTTACCTTGCGATCTGATGTTTGGAATACCTGAAGAAGAACGGAAAGAAAACCGAGATTATGCCGACGAAGTAAGGGCACGACTTCTGGGGATACATGATTTTGCTCGGGAGCACATTCAGCTGGCCAGTGACCGAATGAAGACCAGATATGACTTGAAAGCCAATTCAGCCGGATTTCAAGGTGATTTAGTGTGGCTGTATAATCCAACAAGAAAGAAAGGAGTGTTGCCGAAATTGTCTTCAGCATGGGAAGGACCTTACAGAAAAATCAAGAGGATCAATGATTTGGTTTATCGGGTCCAGCGCAACACCAGGAGTAAGATGAAAGTTGTATATTAATTTGGACAGATTGACGAAATATCATGGACGCGAACTTGATCGGGACGATCAACCTTAGGAGGAAGGCAGTGTGACGAGCGTCTACCAATGTGTCAAGAATCTCAGATATCCGCCAGTCTGTTGAATATCCTGGAATCTATAGGGAATTATTCTACTTTAATCGAGAAAATAAGATTATAGCGTTTATTCTAGATGATACATGAATAGATTTAGGGATATATAAGGCCGGTGTTACTGGGTAGTTTTTAGTTTAAGTTTGACTGTGATATGATTTAAATAGTGATTATTTATTGTCGAGTTAGTTAATAAAGTAATTAGTTTCAGTGTGTATAGTTAAGTGGAATAAATTATTGCTATGTTAAATGGACTTTGATTTTGGAATGAACGAACAACGAACCCAAGATTTCTGTCACGCACACCAAAGCCGTGACAATATAAAAGAAAAAGTTGGAAAATCAAGGCAATAAGAACTTGAAAAGGGAAAGTAGAATTAATACGAGGGAGGGCGAGAAGCAGAGACGATAGCACATCTGAATCAGAATCAGAAATAAGTTTGTCGAGTGAAACCCTAACTAAATATGTCTCTGATTGAGATGAAGATCCTAGTGAAATCAAAAAAATATACTTCATTTTAGATCCATATTATGCACTCTAGACACGCAATGGTATCTAATTAATGCTCAACAACTATTTATACCTACAACAAAATCTGTGTGGGTGTGGACAACGGACAACCATGAAAATAAGAGTTGCAAATACAGAAGTTGCGAATTTTTCAGTGGAAACGTGTTTTTATAAGAGAAAACACTGTTTATTTAGACATTGTTTCCATGATAAAATCAGCTGGAAATCAGATGATTGTAGGAGAAAAATAGAAATCATCTGTTAATCATAAAAACAATTCTGAAAATCATCAGTCGCAATTCTTGGTATGAGAATACATGAGATTTATTGCTCAGTGATTGCCAAATACGGAAATCATTGTACATTTGTAAGCATAGTGGTTGACCCCTCGGTTTTGCCAAGTGTCTCCAAAAACGATAATCATGTCTGTTTGGTCAAAACAAAAGTAACTTCCTACCCAAACATTAAGCTGATGCAATGGGAGGATGTAACTGACCACACCATTTTACAGCAAAATGTATGAATGAAAGTGATGCAACATTTAAAAAATATTGAGTATCTTCCGATTTCAACCACACCGCTTTTGGTTCATGAATGAAAATGATGCAATATTTCTGTAGTTTTCATATGAAGAACAGTATAGTACTAGAGATACGGGTTGTGATTGATGAAAAAATTACTGTTTAAATAGTGTTCAGAGAAAAGTTAACTTTACATCAACATTTTGAGCTGAGGATGCTACCTTTATTTTGCCATTTTTCAAATGAAACATTTTTCTGCATAATATGGGGACATCTTATGAAGAGTTTGTATTAGGTGTGATTTTGATTGGTTGGTTCCATTGGTTAGAATTTTAATCTCTGTGAGGTGATTACAAGCTTCTAAGTTGTTTTTTTGATGATAAAATAATCTTCAAATATACTCAATCACTATGAGAAACCGTGATTTACATTGTGCAAAACCACAATCCAGTTCACTGAACTGTTCTATAAAAAACCTACAAACTAGACGATGTACTTATTATGTGTCAAGTTAAATGTTTCTATAATCAAATTTATCATAAGCAATTAGGAAATTATAATAGAGCAGAGGTTATTTTTGTGTGTTTTTTATCTTTCATGGCCATTGAAAAAGCAATTAATATTTCACATTAATTAGCGTATTAGGATGCAATTTCAGTGATAACTACATTATCAAATAATGCTGATATAAAAAATGACTTATATCCAGCAATATTTTTCATTTCCAGAGAAATAATATATTGGGATAACCCTCATCGATTATTGCATCAATTTGTAAAGTTTTGGATGAATGCGGAATATTTGTGAAATCTGGGTCAATTGATAGATAAAATGAAATTTTCAAAACATATTTGGTCTACTGTACTGTTAAGCAATTTGACAAGAAATTATATCACAGCTGATAAAGAATCTTACCTAAGGAGCTCCGACAAGCATCTTTCTCTTCGCTCTCAATAAGATCGTTTTTAATTGGTGCATAGTCACTCAGTAGAACAAGACAATCAGAAAAGTCCTCTCGCCACGCATAGTAAGCAGGAGTGTTTCCTTCAGCATCTTTAGCTTCTGGATCGCCACCGCTGTTTAGCAACAGCTTGAGGACGTCTACTCTACCAAGTGATGCTGCAATGTGCACAGGTGTAACACCATATTGTGCCCTAGGAAAAAAATTTAGTAGTTTTAGTTCTAAATCTAAAAAAGTTGTTTTTATGAAATTTCTTATCTGAAGCAGCAACAAGTTTTGGCGCCAACTATTAATCAAAAAATTGTGAACAAGATATTATTCATTTGCTAATTAGACGAAGATAACATTTAAAATCGTAAAAATAACATTATTTGTCTTTTGCCTAAATTTAAATCAGTTATCAACCAAAGATAGAGATACATAGGTCTAAGTATAGCAATAAGTAAAAAATATGCTGCTAACAAACCTAAAACCCAAACACTATGCTCATTTATTAATGGTAGGATTAATGGCGTCAACGAAAATAAAGCATTAATCAATTTATTAATTACTTATTAATGTGATTGACAATATTTTTGGGGGCAATAAGGTCGCCTTGAATCTGGATCGAACTGGTTTCAATTTATATGTAACTAGTAATTAAGATAATAAAGAGTTTGTTGAAACTATATATTTTTGTTTGGCAATATCCACTCTTACCTTAAATTTGGGTCTCCTCCATTTTGCAAAATAAGCAAAGTAACTTTATAAGAAAAATCAGGACAGTCATCGCCCACAGCCAAATGAAAAGGGGCAAATCCTTTTTTAGGATGCTTGAAGTTTGGATCGGCTTTTTTGTCCAGGAAAAATCTTACATCTCTGAAAGTGCAAGGTTGAAAAATCAATTAAAAACAAAGATTATAAAAATGTGTCTAATAATAGTTATCACTTGCATTTAACTCCTGCTCAAAGTCTTGCAATAATAAAAAAATCTAGTTAATAATATATTTATAGTAACAATATTATCGAATATTAATGAGCCATGAATTTGTAGTAAACTAAATTGTAGATAAGTCGTGTGCATTGGTTCATTACGGCTGGCACCAGGATTTACATAAACACTACTAAAGATAATGTACTACAGCGTAATATTAGGATTCAACCACAACATACAATGGACTTTGCACAGAGTAATGACACACATATAATTTGGTAGAGGATTTCTTTGGAAATAATATTGAGGAAGGATTAGGTAGTAGGTATGAGATTGAATGAGCGTATAAGTACTTTTAGATTGCTGAAGTATCTACATAACTAAGTACAGGGTGTTTTTTCATATATTGACACCCCACCTACAGCCTTTACCTTTACAGGGAGCAGAAAGATGTAAATGCAAAAGTTGTACAGTTTTGGCTGAATTTTTAGAAACCGTCGTCAGCAACAAAATTTAAATGTCAGAAATGTGAAATTTTGCATTTTTTTAGCTTTTTTCTAATAGGATGCCCTATATTTCATTCTATATTCTTGAAGAGCACAATGCCCCGATTCCAAAAATATATACATAGTTTGTCTATATTTGATTGAACAGTCTCTCATATATTCAGCTCCAAAAATTTTAAAAATACTATCCTATTACTACTGATTTTTTAACCATTCTACCTGTAAGTACAGGTGAATGCTGCAGGTAAAATTTGAGGTAGGTGGGTACTTGATTTCTCTTGTAGTATTTTTAAAATTTTTAGAACCAAATATGTTGGAGACGGCTCAACCAAATACAGACGAACTATATAGTTTTGGAATCGGAAAATTGCGCTCTTCAAGAATATAGAACCAAATATAGGGCATCCCATTTGATTAAAGCTGAAAGCATGCAACATTCCATATTTCTGACATTCAATTTTTGTTTCTGACCATGGATTCTGAAAATTTAGCCAATACTGTAGAACTTTCGTATTTACAGCTTTCATCTACTTGTAAAGGTGAAGGCTGTAGGTGAAGTGTCAATACATAAAAAAGCCCTGTATTTGAACAATAACTTATTATATAAAGTCAGAATTTGTAAGACTATCCACTTCTTGTCAATTTGCCTTTTAACAGAAATTAGTAATGTTACTTTACCAAACTAGTAACATAATGTGACAAGTTATTCAAGTATAAACGAGTGGATTGTTGCGGCACTTATGGGTGGACCTCTACTCATCAATATGTCGTTTAATTGCGATACTACCTGACTCACTCAAATGTGAGTTATTCTTATTAGTTTAAAAACTACACGTTCCAGGTGAATGTCTTACTGCCGAACTCGCTTCGCTTGTCACGCAGAGGTCCACCTATAAGTTCTGCAATAATCCACGAGTTCCGCAGCCATCTACTCACCAATATACTGTCAAACTGTTCATGTAAGACATTCACCTGAAACGTGTAGTTTTTAAACTAATGAGAATAACTCACATTTGAGTGAGTCAGGTTAGTATTGTAACTAAACAACATATTGACGAATATATGGCTGCGGAACTCGCTGCGCTCGTCCCGCAGGGGTCCACCCGTAAGTTCCGCAACAATCCATTTATTTGTACTTGAACAATAACTTATTATATAAAGTCAAAATTTGTAAGATTATCCACTTTTTGTCAATTTGCCTATTAACAAGAATTAGTAATGTTACTTTACCAAACTTAGTAATATATTTGTGACAAATTATTCAAGTACAAACGAGTGGATTGTTGCGGAACTTCTGGGTGGGCGAGCGCAGCGAGTTCCGCAGCCATCTACTCACCAAAATACTGTTAAACTGTTCAAGTAAGACATTCACCTGAAACGTGTAATTTTTAAACTAATGAGAATAACTCCCATTTGAGTGAGTCAGGTTAGTATCGTAATTAAACAAAATTTTGATTAAATTTGCTCAGTTCATCTTGACTTTTCCAGGCTCTTGAATTTCTTTCTCCTTCTAATTTCCAAATATTACTGGTTCCAGTAGCTCACTCCGTGCACTCCAAGTGATCCGTAAGTACCTACTCCGTTCATGTTGGATTAAACGGAATCGAGTTGAAGGTGACTCTAGGTGAGTTTGGAATAGTAGAAAGCTCGGTAGAAAGTTTCGATACTTTTCACACTATTGACACTGTAACGTTCATTAATGCGTAGGACTAGGAGTAATAGACCCTGAGATAGGGCCTGTTTAGTGAAGTCATTTTTTTTTGTCTGGCATTTTGAGGGTTGAATATGGCTAGTTAGCTGATGAGAATATAGGCGGTTTTAATGCCTGCCACCTGTTCGAAATGTCCACAGAATGTTTCGCCGGAAAACTCGACTTCGAACTGCGATTACCGTCTGGCGATTTTTCAGCGATATTTTCACAGCAAAACCTTCCATTCTCTCGATTACCAGACAAAAAGTAAACGTGGAAGGTTCTTTTTTTTTCTCTTGGAAGTTGACACTCATCCCCACTTTTTCAGCTATTGAAAAGCATCTATTATTTTTTATGGGTGAATTATTTATCAATGTCAATCTTTTATTTAGAAGCCAAAAAATTTGAGATCATTAAAAAAAAATTCCTCATGTAAATCAATTTTTTTCTTCTGCAAATTTTCGAACGGGAGGCAGGCATTAAAATCACCCATATTCTCATCAGCTTAGTAGCCACATTCAGCCCTCAAAATGCCAGACAAAAAAAAAATGACTCCACTAAACAGCCCCTATCTCACAGTCTATAAGTTTGGTGATTGGTTTGGGTTACACTTTATTTGTGTTTGGAAATAATTTGGTATAAAGATGGTGGGCACCATTTACTCGATACAAAATGATGATTTATACGGTGTTACACTAATTATACCTTCATCACGTGGTATAACTCTGCACTACATGGACACCGCACTAGAATCACATTCCGAACTCAACTTCTGAATGTTCCATTCAGTTCCATTGGAAAAAATTTCTTTTAGAGTGAGTACAGTAGCTATCAAAGTAATTGGAAAATCAGTTATTTGAAATTTTCTGGATCGATCAATTTGCAGATTTTATATTCTACTCGAGAACACGTAACAGAACACTGTTCTGACTACGCTCTAACACCATTATAAATAGCCAAACACAACTCTTCTCAATTTTAATTAAATTTACTCATTTCTTAACTTTTCCAAGCTCTTCGAATTTCTGTTTCCTTCTAGTTTTCAAATATTATTGGGTTCGGTTAGCTCACTCTGTGCACTCTGTGATCCGTAAGCACTCATGTTCGATCAAACGGATTCGAGTTGGAAGTGACACTAAATGTTCCATTACGGAAAAAGAGTCGTTTAGAGTGAATCGAGTAACTGTCAGAGTAACTAAAAAATCAGCTGTAAAATTCACTTTGCAGCTTATAAATATGTTCTACTCAAGAACTCTGTTCTGACTACGCTCTAGCTCCGTTATAAATAAATAGCCAACTCCAACGCTGCTTCATTTTCATTAAAATTGTTCAATTCTTAACTATTCCAGGCTTTCGAATTTCTGTTCCTTTCTAGTTTTTTAATATCTCTGGGTTCGGTTAGCTCACTCGGTGCACTTTAAGTGATCGGTAAGCACTTTGTTCATCTTTGATTAAACTAAATCGAATTGGAGGTGACTCTGAATGTTCCATTTCAGAAAAAAAGTCATTTAGAGTGAATAGAGAGTGGATTGTTGCGGAACTTATGGGTGGACCTCTGCGGGACTCACTACTCACCAATATACTGTTAAACTGTTGAAGTAAGACATTCACCTGAAACGTACAGTTTTTAAACTAATGAGAATAACTCACATTTGAGTGAGTCAGGTTAGTATCGTAATTAAACAACATATTGATGAATAAATGGCTGCGGAACTCGCTTGGAACTCTTCCAAAAGTTAGCAACTTTTATTTTCATGGTTGTCCACACCCACACCGATTTTGTTGCAGGTATAAATAGTTGTCGAGCCCTAAATACCATTGCGTGACTACACTGCATATTATGGGTGTAAAATAATGGATATTTTTTTGATTTCACTAGGATGTTCATCTGAATCAGAGACATCTTCAGTTAGAGTTTCGCTTGACAAACTAATTTCTGATTCTGATGTGCTATCCTCTCTGCTTCTCGCACTGGCTAGTATTTATTCTACTGTCCCCTTCCCCTTTTCAAGTTCTCATTGCCTTGGATTCTCGACTTTTTCTTTTGTATCTTCCTCAGTGACATTCCCAAAGCGCTTAATACTTGATCAACAAACGTCCATGCTTCTCCAAAAAGAACCAAATTAAAGTTGGGCCCTGATTAATCTCTAAATTGTAGCGAATCACAATTGCTAAACCCTAAAGTGAAGAAATTCTGTCTTCTTTTAGCAAGTCGGATTCGAGAGATGTTTCAAGATTCATATTTTCATTTTTATGCTCTACAACATTGTCATACTTTAGGTCTCTTCTCACAGAAATCACAATCCAGTCAGAGCGAATTTCATTTGTTGAAAATAGTCAGAAAACTGGTTCAGACTCTTCGTGGTCTCGGGTTCAGTTATTGGCTCAGTTATTGGGAAACTTGCTGGGATATCAAATTAATTTCAAATTGTCTAGCACTCAATGTTGCCTAAAACTTAGTCCTACAGGCAAATACACAACTGACTGGTACCCTGTAAAATGAGATGATATTCCCAGCGATTACCACATGATTCTCAGCGATTGTTAATGGATTCCTAAGTGATTTCCATGGAGTCCTAGGAGATGCCTAGCGAATCCTAGGTTATTCCCAAGTGATTTCCATGTATTCCTGATTGATTACTATGGGGTTTCCAAAAAAACGTTCAATGATTTCCACTAATGTTTTACCTACCCCTTGGCAGCCCCAATAGTTCAGCAGCTTTGAAGCTTCAAAGACTTTCAAGTTTAATTTTTATCAAGGTGAACAACGAATCAATCTTTCAGCCACTTTTTGAAGCTTGAGTTTCTCCAAAATGGCATCGTCGCAGATTTTGCTTCACAATTTTGTTACAGTGAAAAACAAAGAAAAATCTCAAATGCCATGGATAAAAAAAATATATATCCAAGAGCCTGGAATAGACAAAAATTGAGATGAAAAAATGAGAAATAATTTCATCATTGATCAAGTCATTAATAGATCTAGTTGTTATGTATGGGAGAATATTTCTTTCAAAAAGTTTAACATTACCAGAATAATCATTTTCTGAAGAAGCACAAGGTGAGAAGAGAATATTACAAGATACAATTTCTGGAAAATAGCTCAGAAAAACAAAATATTTTTAATGGTAGGTACCTTAAAAGGAATAATTGATTGCCTATGAAATTACCTTTCTAGGAGTTGAAGAGATACTTACTCACTCGCTTACTTATTTTAGAGATAATCCTTGGATTTCAGTCCAAGTATTTTCATGACAACAACTAAGTAAATACTTTTCACCAGTTCTGATGCAATACTTATTTATTTGCAATTTGCTCCCAAAAAATTCGGAATTCTTAGAAATATCCTAACACAAAATAAGTGATATCTAATCTAAGAAATACTGATAGATTTAAAATAATACACAGAATACCAAAAAGCATGCATTACCTAGAAAAGTTAATTTGAGTTTTGCTATGTGGCTCTCTCCTTGTGAAATCCAGTAGGTACATTTCATATAGATTGCAGCTAATAACATTAACAAAAATCAGTTATAGGTTCACTATTCTAAAATATACCTTGTATAAAGGTGTCGAAAGTAGAATTGAAGCTAGGCGTTCCCAAAGAGTCTTGAAGCAATGATTGTCAAAGAGATACTTTAATACTTATTACTTCTTGTATATTTACCTGAGTGTTCTTTTTAACAATTTCTCGATTCATTTCAATCAATGAAAATATCGAAGAAAATATTTTTAGGGTAGGTAGTTTTGAAGCGCTCGTGCACTAATTTAGCTAATGTTGCTGAGGTTGCTAAGGTTGCTGAGTTCTTTTATGTTCTACCAAAAATGTAAAGTTCATATGTGTAGGTACATAACAAGTAGGCACCGCCTTGCATTCACTTAAAGTTAACTTTTTAGGCTCTTAGCAGATAATATGTAGGTGTAGACCTATGTATTTATCGAGGTATTTATACATTTTTAACAATAAATGGAGCTTTTGCTACTAGTTTTACTATCTAATATTGAAGGATTTACCTCGGGATTTACTAGGTACTTTCAAATGAAGCAGATGCTTTATAGTGAAAGTATTTTCTTATTCATAACTCATAGGAATTGGAACATTTGCTTTTACTTCATAGCATCTACGTAAATACAAGTGTGTAACATTGTTCAAATTAAAACATAATACCTACGCCTAAATTTGAAATACCCTCCAAAATTTCATATTAAGTAGGTATGTAGTAAAACTGTCCTTACAATAAATGAATAAAAGGGTACATAGGATATGGGGATATGTTTTTTATTAATCTCAAAAAATTTAAAATCAAACCTCGGTTCATACAGTATTCAACAGGGTGTTTTGGGGGAATTAAATTGGTCCTTAAGAAGGAATCTTCAAGGGTATCTTGGAAGTTTGTATGTATGAAATAAACTGGGTGATAAATGAGCTACTTATTATTTCTTGACTTAGTTTAGGTTAGTTTCAAAAGAGCAAACCATGTAATGCCTTATACCCTCAGGTACCTATACCTAATTAAAGAAAATGCATACAATTCCAGAAATAAAGAGTCTAGTACTCACAATAACAGTAGGTAGGTCTTTTTTAATTGAAGAAATTGAATATTTACCCCTTGACCTACCCATTCCAATTAAAAACGATGCACTAGACTGGATTTACAGACTTGGAATTATAACTTTAAACTCAAGAATATTCACACTTCACACTAAAGTACCGTTTAAGTTTCAAGTGAATCAAGTTTATAAACCAGGCAAAAAGTTGACTTTTTAAATGAAAAACAAAGTACTTAGTAAACAGAAGAACTTGACAACTTTTCTACAGGCTAGATTGTTTTAAATTCGTAAAATAAAATCATATTACCTGAGATCTTTCTCCTCGATGGCATGATAAAGTTTGGAGGCCAGATAAATCTTTCTTGCATAGTTATCTTGGCCTTCACAAGTCAACATATTAACTCAACAACTTTCTCACATGAAGCCACTCGTCAATAAGTATATGAGAAAATCTAATCTTAGCCTGGATAGGCAAAGAACACCAACACTCGAATCGAACACCAAAACAGTACAGAACATGTTTTTATGTGATACTTTTTTTTCTAAATATTTGTCTGTAAACAAAAAAATTAAATATTCTCTCCCTACTCCATAGTAATTCGGTTTAGTCTAGATAGTGAGAGGTTAGTTTACTTCACACACATGCTGATATGAGATGGTGGAGGATTGTAAACATATGCCTACACATTGTTGCCGTACTTACAGAATTGATCCTTTAAGTAGATGAATAATTTTGGATTTTAGTAGTCTCTACTCTAGTAAATACCTTCGCAGAGCTGTTGTAAGTAGGTACCAAGAAAAAGTACTTAAGCATTAAAAGTACGAGTTTCTTTTCCAATACAAATTGAAATCAAGTACCAGTACAAGTATAAGTAGGTAGGTATTTACCTACAGAAGAAAATTCTTAAAATATCAAGTAAATTATTGACTTGAAGGTGTGGAATTGCCCAGATTCAAGTACAAGTACCAAATTCCACGAAAGTCAGAGTCAAGTGTAAGTTTACTTAAACCCTTAAACATTATGCGCACTTCAAATCTCATTTATGTAGAAATACTTCAAAAAATTATTAAGGTATTTTTTATTTCAAGTATTGTTCGAATTAAACTAACAAATTAAATAATTGCTATCGATAATCTTTAATCTTAATGGGAGATTCAATATTCAGTATAGGCGGTATAATAATGAAACACAAACGTTGCTGTTAGGGCCGGTTTCTCAATAGCAAGTCACCCCCGGGTTATGCATATTCTCCAGGGTAAGCATTGCAACTGGACTCGTTTAAGTCGTTTACCCTGCAATAAAACAAACCCGGAGGTGACTCGTTATTGAGAAACCGTCCCTTATGATGTTTTTATTATTATTAACATGTTGAACCAGTTAACACAAACAAATTACTTAAAATACTCATCCCTTAGCAAGAATCGCAAACATTATATAACTCAAATAATTCAACATTTACTTATAGATAGCCTTGTCCCCATTTGTGCGTTTTGATTTTCAACTTCACATACAATTTTCAATTTCGTTTTCAACACCTAGTAGTCTAGCATACTAACATAAATTGACTAGCATCTTGCATAACTGGATTATTATTGGATTTATTTTGGTTTTCAACTAAATTTTACTCAGTAGCTATTTAAAAATACTTCAATTAAAAATATTAACTTCAAGTAATTTTACTGGTAGGTACCTACTTACCTAATTAATTTAATAACACGTAAGTTCAAATTTTCAAAAGCTTTCCAGTAAAATATACTTGACTGATATTTTTAGTATTACGTAAAAGTAAAATTTGAAAAACTTGAAATTGCCTAGTACCAATGTTTGGATTAGTATTTAAGGCAAATACTTGAGTATATTTTTATACTTAAATATTTACTGCAAGTATTTGAAATACCTACTCAGTACAAAAGCTCTCTGTACCTATTTTAACGATTTTTCAAAAATTATTTTTGTATCATCTCAGTGCAAGAGGAAAGTCGACATAAGAGCATTGTTTTGGATGTCATAAAGTTAATCGGAACAAAAATATATTTTCTTGTAGATTTATGCAAAAAATATTTGATATGTGGAAGTAATTCCCACAATTGGAATTCAATTTTTCAATTCGTTATTGATATCTTAGTCAGATCAGTGCTGTTTTTCAAGATCAGCATCGTCTACACTCTACAGTAGCACGAATCCCACTAATCTCAGTCTGGCCATTCGCTTCTAGATATTTTCCAAGCATGTTTTTAAAGTACTGTTTATATTTTCTTTATTATCCGATGCTCTACGTCCTTTGTACAAAGGTGGCAAAGCCACCAAATACAATTATTGTCCCAATTTGTGTAGCAGTGCACCACCGTTAAGAACATGGAAATGTTAAGTCATCCAAAGTTACTGCCAATAATATTGATGACTTGTCACTTATTTTCAATAACTTCTTGATCAAAAAGAAATTGATGAAGTATAAATAATTCATAGTTAAAGTTCTGCTCCAGAGTAGGATATAAAGACAAACAATAACGAGCAATCTCTACTCTTGTATCGATCTGTTGAATAGCTCCCTCAAATCTTCATTGTGACAACTTGATGGTCCTTTTTAACTATGGTTGAAAGCTTCTCCAGTAAGCTTGGATTGGATTCAATGTCAAATTGACTTAGATTCTTCATCGCTGCAGTAACCTTGTGTTAAGTAGTGTCAACTGAACCATTGAAAATATTACGTATAGCTCAATACATTATGAATAAAAAAGATGGGTATGATCTTGCAGAAACTTCATGTTTTTAGATTTTAAAGCATCGGATATTTGAATGTGTTTTTCACTATACTAACATATTGTATGGGAGACATCAGTGGATTGCTCATTGCAAAAATAACTTCACACCAAATTCAGGGTTGCTCAATATGAAATTAATCTCGAAAAACCTTTTCCCATACTCCTTCCGCGTGTATTCAACTTCTTGTTGATCGCATTAGGGTTTGTTCGACATATCCATATTGCAGCCCAGAAAGTCTACGAAGGGTGAAACGACCATAGCATTCAACAAACTAGTAACAACTTGCTGAAGATACACCATAGAAAATTTTGCATAGTTTTTGTGCGTTGCAGCTGCAAATAAAGGCAGCATGTTCTCTACTGTCCGTTCAGAGTTCAGACCAAATAAATCTTGACAATGTCAACCATATCTAGATACAAGATCCACACAGTTTTGTTCTACTTTGTACTTTCAAAGAGTTCTTTCTCTCTTGAAATTCAGTAGACAACTTCAGCAGTTCGGTAGAGGATAAACTGATGTAATTTCGCCATTATACAGCTTATTTTGAAGCTCCATGAGAATGTGCCAATTATCTGGCAAACAGTAGGTATGTCTGATTAGTACTTATACAGATGAGAAGTTGCTGTTTGAAAGGCACGGTTTTAAGGTAAACCTTACAAAGTCTGTTTTTGGAGATCCAGTTCAGAACAACTTTTTAATATGGCTTTCGTTGTACAAAAGCCCGCAATAAGATCAATCAATGTGTATAGTAGGTCCCAGACAATCATGTAGACCTTTGTCTTCTCACAAAGGATTTCAATTTTGGCATATATCTTTATTGTTGAAACTGTGTGTCTAATGCACAATAAATGTAAAGATAACATTGCAACTGCATAGAAGTTTCAGTCACTCGTTCGTTTCACGTGCGGCTTTACTTTCCATTCTTGCTCGACCCTAAAAAAAATCATTAATTTATAGTAATAAAACGCTTTTCAATCATTTGCCTTTGATTTTGAATATAGAGTAATAGGTATTCAAAGTTAGAAAGCGTTTTGGAATTGAAGTAAAGAATTTAGGAATTGGTTGGGATAACCTACTACTATTCAGTTGCAGAACATGCATGTGTACCTATGTAAGTTAGGATTACTGGACAGGCATTTTAAATTAATTTATTATTATCACTTATGTATGTAAGCAGGGATGTGCCGTAGACTATGAAATCTACTTTACGCAGTTTGTCTACTCGTTGTCTACGTATTGTCTACATCCACTTTTTTCTATGTAGACTATGTAAACTATGTAGACAATGTAGACAACAGAAAATTAGAAATTTGAGTAATTTTTTTTTAAAGTTTGCATTGCATTAAATTGATATTGTATCAAATTAGACATTATCTGCAGTTTAATTAACTTTACAATGCAAAAAACAAAACAAAGCAAAAACAGAAACCTAACCTTAAAGGCCTGCCAGCTGTCAAAAATTGTATAAAGTGCGTTTTTTTTTAAAGATAATTCCCCAAGTCAAAAATTTAGTAACTATGTTGGCAACACAAGCCTTTTCTACATAAAAAATTTGAAAGCATTGACAATTTTACATTGTATTGCCAACAAAATGTCAGTTTGACTTTTATCTTTAAAAAAAAAACAGATTTTAGTTTACGCGTTGTCTAGGTACATATTTTGCACGTTGTCTACATAGATTACATAGTTTACCTATGAGCGTGCGGTAAAGTGCACTTTACCGCACGTATTTGCAAATGGAAAGTAGCACTTTACCGCACACTATGCGGTAAAGTTAACTTTACAGCATAGTGTGCGGTAAAGTGAACTTTACAGCATAGTATGCGGTAAAGTGGACTACAAAGTGTGCGGTAAAGTGCACTTTACCGCATAGTGTGCGGTAAAGTAGAATTTGATATTTATAATCAAAAATCCTTTTTTTTTCCCATAAAATGGATTTTTGATAATTTCTAAATCTAATCTAATTTCATTCATTAATCTGATTCAATAATTAATTTTATCAATGCCCTTTTTTGGAGATGTAGATGCTCATAGGTAAAATTTTGTACCTAACACATGCGGAAAGTGCCTTTACCGCCTTTAAAAAAAAAAACAGACTTTATACAATTTTTGACAGTTGGCAGGCCTTTAAGGTTATGTTTCTGTGTTTGCTTTGTTTTGTTTTTTGCTTAATTAAATTGCAGATAATGTCTAATTTGATATAAACTTTCAAAAAAATTACTCAAATTTCAAATTTTCTGTTTTCTACATTGTCTACATAGTTTACATAGTCTACATGGAAAAAAGTGAATGTAAACAATACGAGGACAACGAGTAGACAAACTGCGTAAAGTAGATTTCATAGTCTAGGGCACATCCCTGGAATAAACCTAATATATCTATTGAACTATATAGTTAAAAAACAATATCCCATCTAAAAATATAGTTGACTATGTTACCAAAACTAGAAATATGAAATCACAAAATATTAAACAAATCTGCTCAGCACGAAACGTTGAAGATCTGATTATTAGCACCGCTTGGCAACATGGCTAAAGAATTTGAATGTCTTGCTGATAGTGACCGCATAGTATCTAGACGCGCCCAGAAATACGAGGGGGTTTTTGGAAGTCATTTCCCTAGTACAGAGGCTGTTCAAAATATACTCAGTAGGTAGGTAAGTGAATATTTTTTCATATATTTTCAATTTATGTTTCAATGATACTATATTTTAACAAATTCATGGGTAGAATAAACAATTTGTGAAACAATATGTAACCTACGGCTGTCCCAATTCAAAACGCAGTGACAACATTTTTATAACAATGGAGAAAAATCTACTTTTATGATAAT